GATGATATTGATATTTTACCAAATGTAGGAGTGTTACTGGGAACAACTGTATGGTTTACTAACAGGTGTAACTGCAGAGAAAGCAATTAAGAGCCTTGTTTAGATTAAATATGCTTTATATTCCCAAAATTATATATAATTTTATATATATATATATATATATATATATATATATATATATATATATAAAGGTAGTGTGTGCTAGCAATAAGCATCCATATTCTATTGGATCACCACAAAAAAACCAGTATCTAAATGAATAATGTTTTCTGTGTCTTAGTCTGGTGAAATACTCCTTTAATACTTAACGCTTCTTATATTTATACTTAATAATACTTATACTTATGTTACACTTGAACATCTTTGATACCTTTTCCATTATGCTTAAAGTCCTTACAAATTATTTGGGAAACTCTATACCGTTTAAATATTTGCATTTTAATTTTTGATATTGAGAAAAGGTACGTTTGTGTCTGTTATGTGTGATTAAAAATGACACAAGTCTTTCAGCACCATGGAGAGAGAGACACAAACAAAAGCACCACGGAAAGAATCCAGTGCTAAGTAAAGGTAATAATTACTTTATATTAGTGGTTCACAACCCATTTATCTGAATCAACCCAGTAGACCAGACAACACAACAGCACAGATGGAATTTTCTAAACTCATTTTATATAGTTATACTTTACGCTTAACTACCCAAAAGTGGAAATACATTTTTCAGCAATTTGTTTATTTTTTTTATTACTTAACCTGTTAACAAATTAATTCAAGTTATTTTACTAATTTCTGTACTACTTTCAGCTTACCATTGACTCTTGGCTATTACTTCCTACTTATTAGTTTTCTTCACGTAAGCTATTTATTGTCTATTTGAACTCTTTATCTGTGCTACTAAATAAAAAAAAATCAGCTGTTGTAATTTAAGCTGACTATTGTATTGCTTTTTTTATATTTGTAATTATTCCTTTTTTGTTAAACATTTCTGCTTTGGTCGCACTCAATTAATAAATTTGAATTTTGTCTTTGGCAGATTACTTGAGATAAGCTTTTCACATACTTCATGAACTCCTTGTACCCCTAATTGGAATTTAATTAGAGTTACTCTCTAACTGTGCTATTAGAGAGTACAATTTATTTATTTATTTATTTTTAAAAAAAAGGTTGTTTCTGAAGTGTTTCCATATTCTACATTCAAGGAAAGAAAATGATACTTGTAATGCTACTTTTTTGTAAAAAAAAAAAAAAATACATTGGATAAAGTCAATCCATCGGGGCTCTAAATGTATGAGTACTGCTTTTTGCCATAACATAAGTGTGGGACAAGCACTGATGATAATATTTGTATGTGTGGCCTAGCAACTATTCTAAAAATTCACTTCATCCACTCTTAATTGACACTGGCTTAGAGCAGTACACTCTAGGCACCAAAAGATGATGATTCATGTCTCGCTCTCTGGCTTTTGTTCAATACACACACACACAATTTTGGCTGAGAGCAGTAGAATCACTGGACTAGACAAAGTGGTGTGATTACCATTTTGCCATTTCATCACCAGAATGTGGTCATTTATTGGCACACAAGAGTACTTCTTTGAAGCACGGACGGAGAAAACAGATTTTAAAAAGACCAGGAAAGAGTTAAGCAGATTACACAATAAGTTAATATAGAGCAAGATGTCATAGATTACAGACAAATGGAATCTAATAAAAGTCATTATGGTGATGTCAACTCTAGAATGAAATTAGTAGCAGACCTTGGTAAACATTTTAAAATGATCCCCGCATAGTATGTTTGAGCTGAATTTCAGCTTTAAGGTTTGCTGTTATGTGCTACACAGCATTTAAGAGAATGTGGGGAAGTTCTGGCTGCTAATATTTCCTACAAAGATTGGAAAACAATGGGATTGTCAGTTTACACTTTAAAAACTTTAAAACCACAAAACTCTCTGACACAGATTGTCTTTCTTGATGATGCAAGTCCTTCATCTTCAGATTGGTCACTAATTAAAATATGACTGCCTGCTGTTGTTTCTGCTGCACAGGCAGATCTGCACTCTTATCCAACTTCCATTTAACAGAGACTCAGCAACAAAGCAGTAGACTGACAGACCTGTGTGTGAGTAATGCAAGTAAACTGACTGAAGCTGTGGAGCTCTATCTCTTTGAGTACAGGTTTTCTACATGCTTTTTTCCCCCACCGTTGCAGTTAAATGGTGTTCCCTTTTTTGTTTACACCTCTGTGGTTCTAGTGCTGTTATTCATTCAGTCTCAGACAGTTTGAGACTAAGCTGCTGCACTCTACATTTATCTGCATTTAAATCTTCACATTATCCTTATGATATATTTGATTCCCGCCTTCTGAATCATTCCTGCCTTTAATTGTCTTAAAATACTGTAAAAAAAAATAAACATAGATTTCTTCAGCGTGGCAGGTGGCCTTTTTCCCTCATGTGGCCTGATACTGAACTGCAATATTGCTGCTCTCAGGGGACCAGATGATTCAGCAGAAACCAGCAGACAATAGAGTAAGGTTGTGTTTTTGTTTCCCCCCCCCCTGGTTTGGAAATTGTTAGAGGACACAGGGAAGGCAGGATGTGTTTATCCCTTTGTTATTAACTGGTACATTTAGCGTGCCAGTAAAACTTAACAGCATCTTTGTCTGGCAAACAAATGACGAGTGGAAAAGCTGCCCGTTTGTATTTTTATGACAAATGTTGTTACCCCTCCTTCCTATCTGAGTACACCTGGTTCACTTTGATTTGAACTACAGTAAGTCATGATATTATTGACATTGTCATGCAAACTCTCAATATCATTCGTTGTTTTGTGGCTATGGTGAACTGAACTGCTCACTATGTGTTCCTGTGTTGTTCCCTGTTCGCTGTAGTAATACTGAACAATAACAATCATAATTATAGATTTTACTGGTTTTCCTCCTGTCTGGTGGGCTAATTAGTCCTGTGAGCTGCTGCAGTGGAGTGAATAATGGAGACTGGCTAACCAGATGTCCAGAGAGAGAGGAAATGGCCCCAACCCCATCTTCTTTTTTTTTTGTGATGTCCTGCAGGGTGGAAGCCACATTGACACATGTATTCAGAAAGCATAAAACTATACATATACACTGACATGTAGACTTGTCTAAATTAAAACATGCACACACGTGCTTCTTTAAGCTGTCACAGAGATACTGTAGGAACAAATGAAATAAGCACTCTACTAATGTTGCATATAACACTCAGTTTAGTCTTTATAATCAGCAGATAGAAACAGAGGATGTCTGTGCCTCCCTCTGGTTAAGTCTGAAAAATAACTCTAATTATATTGGGTGCAGTAAAGACATGCGTTTGTACCATAAATATATTCAGTGTTTTGGGAGAATGAATCATAAAAGGGACCAAAAATAAACACTAAGAAGAATGCTGCTTCATATGTCTTCATATCGGTCAAGACTGAGCATTGGTAGAGCCTTAAATGTTTAGAGTTAAGCAAAATTTTAGGAGGTTTAATTCTGCGTTCTGCGTAGCCTATTTGCTTTATCCTCCCCCTGCATTTTCAGAATTGTCCCACTACCACAAAACAACTCCAGATCATTTAGTCTTCTTCAATTCGCCAATGTCGTCTATATGAAGAGATCACATAGTGGCTGAGGTGGTCAGCATGATTGTGCTTGTGTGTAAACTGATAATATAATTTTATATGATTGTTGGGTAGTGAACTGGAAGCCTCTCACTCCATTCACTGTGGTGTGAAATGTGCTCCAACCGGCTTGATGACCTGACAGAGACTTTTCTGCATCCCTGATCTGTCTGCACCCTGTCTGTCTGTCAGTGTCAGCCGGTTAATGTGGTCTGCAGAGGTAGCAATCCTGCAAACTTGAGTGTGTAGCGCTGATGCATTCTCCAAGTCCTGGAAATGCTGAGGTAATGCCTTTTTGCCTCACTGCCATGAAAGGACATGCCAGGATGAAGGCCCTGTGTCTGCTTGTAGCAAAAAAAAAAGAAAAAAGATTTAAACCCTTATTTTTGTACAACAATTGGGTAGAACTGTGCTGTAAAACCTTCCTACATTACTCTGTAAAGCAATATTTAAAAAAAAAGACAAAATGAAGCAAATGAAAGTGTGATATATATATACATATTTTAAGTTGCTAGTGTAATATAGACACACAAATAGGCACACCCTTTGTCACGCACCTGCTTCTACATGCATGTCACTCTCAGGATCTCATTATGGCTGCATTAGAGCTGAGGAGGGGAGTGGCAGAGCTAAGAGGGACCCACTTTAGGTTCAAACAATGGAGACACATGGCTGGGTGGGAACATGCAGAGAGAGAGAGAGTGTGTGTGTGTGTGTGCGTGTGTGCAATGTTATGGGCAAGCTCTGTGACAGCTGCCACACCATTTTGCTCTTCTGTGTCCCGCAAAACAAAACACACAACCTCCTGGTTATGGCTGATATAAATCTACAATTTCAAAGGGAATATTTTTTTTTCTTGCCAATAAATCTATTTAGCAGACTGGCAAAATTTTAAACATCCAATATGTATGATTAACACACGGCAGTGAAGTCAGTGGACATGTTTAAAATGAGTAAATCTTTCCATTACATATTGTTTATAATAACGATGGTGATTTCTATCCCATGTTCCTTTGTTTCCTCTTAGTTCTGCCAATTTTCCCCTAATCAATCAGACCTCAGTGACTTCAGCCGTAAACACACAGGCGCAGACTACACCACAAACTAGTGCGCCTCAAAACCAGCTGCTTCAAGGACTTTGCTATTTCTCTCGGATAGGTCAGTGATGACAGATATTGGATACGCAGCACACTTTATGTAAAAAACAAAAAACGAAAACAAAAAAACAACGTGTGACAGCAGTGTAACGCAAAGAAGAGGATGCCTGCTGGAGGCTGTTCACCAGCTTCTCCACTGCGCCCTCCGGTGGAAAGATTGTGACATCACGCTTTCCAAACTGAACATACTGAGGGAGGGGCCGTGTGCCTGGACCACAGACGCTCCTATAGCACTCTGCGAGCCACTCCACATCGCACTGACAAGAGGGGCGACTATTCCTTGAAGCTCCCATCCAGGCGAGGGCCGCTGCAGCATCCATAAACGGGGGAATATCGCTTTTAAAAGCTCGGTATTTTTTTAAAAGAAAAGAAAAGGTGGAATCGAACAGAAGATGTCTTATCAAGGAAAAAAGAACATCCCAAAGATCACAGTGAGTAAAGAGTTATTTCTCCTTCACTGGCTGCAGGAACTTTGATGGCTGCTGCTTCAAATCACTGCAGAAGGTTTCAGCGTTTTTTTGCGCCGCTGCGATGGATCTTTGTCACATACACGATGCAAGTTCAGAGCAACATGAAAATGCTCTTTCTATTGTCAGAGCCGACTGCAGGAAGCCGCTGGAACAATGCGCACAATGATATGGCATGTCTGGCTACCATAGTGACAGTCAGGCAGGGAGATAAGGCGTTTTCTTAAAGGTGTCCTGCATCCTCTTTGTTGAAGCGATCCATGCCGTTGTGCAGAACGGATACCGGCTCGCCCATTAAAAAAAATCACCGTGCCTAACGGAGACTTTATGGTGATTTAAAATATGTAACTCATTCTTATATATTTAGAATAATGCAGTTAATTAGATTTATTCCCCTGCACTCCACCTAGATTTACAGCGTAAAGATATTAGAAGAACGTGTCCAACCCTTGTGGGGCTTTTTAAGGCCCAGCCGGTCTTGTTCATGGGAGGATTTTGAACAGTAATGTTGATCTCATTTTTCGAATACCCTTCTTGCCATTTTGGTGCACAGTGATTTCATGACATACATAAAAGTATCAATGCACATTCTGGTCACAATGCCCTGGACGCTAGCAAATGACTGAAAAGGGAGGGGGGAGGGGGTCCTAAAAATAATGGTCACTTATTATACATGAACTCATTGTTTCGCCTGAAGCCCTTAATTGTTTTATTGCAGAAAAAAAGCCCTCTCTGTGATTTCATAGGGGGGCCTCGGAAATCATAGACGGGGTTTGTCTTTCAGGCTGGTGCAGCAGCAGAGAGTGAGAGGGACAGGAGGAGAAGAGAGGTGGGGGAAATACACGCCCATCTGTGATAAGCTGGCCTTGTGAAGGGGTGCTTGTATTTCTGCATCACCACAAGGAGAAAGAGTCAGGGTCGGCTCAGAGCATTCAGGGTGGAGCGGGGTGGGGGGTTGAATTCAGGGCAGACTGGTGTTACACAGCCAGCCAGCTGGGTGTTGGTGTGTGTTACAACTGCAGAGGAACCTCTCCCTCTCCTTTTTTTCTTTCTGTGTGTGAGCATCTGAGACGCCTGTTTTCCAGCACTCATTGTTGAAGCTCAGGCTGCAGTTCGGGGTGTGTTGCTCAGATGTGGGAGACTTTGCTTTTTTCTTATCTCCTCAGCTAATTGTACACAATTACATTATTACTGTAAAATTAGGAGATGTCGATAATATATGAAAATCTATGAAAATAGTGAAGGCATGTTTAACAGTCACTAGAAGTGCTGCCAATTTGAATGACAATAACCGCTAAAGTAAAGGATGTTTTGTAGGTTTGGGGGTTTTAAACATACAAAGGGAATGCTAATTGTGTCAAAAATACACACACATGCAGCAATAAAGAAACAGAAAGCATTTAGCAGATCACCAGCAAAAGTAACACGAGTAAGCTATGCTGGTTGATTGCCTCAAGATATATCATATTTGGTTACTGAGCTTGCTTTTTTGTGGATTTAGAAGAGCTCCAGCTGTAAGCGGCACATTAACACAGACTGACAGAAAGTACCACAATACAAGTTTTTCATGGACATCCTAAAGCTGCTTCATGCAGTTTCAGTTGAAAGGGAGTAATTTATGATGTAAGCAACCACACTTTTCACTGTTTTATGAATTTAATTATAGTTTGATCTCAACATATGGGTGACTATTCCAACAATATTTAAGTGCTTTTGAAAAGTGATTTGAAACAATGTCTGGGTCAACCACTGAGTGGATTGCTCCCAAATCTGTTTGCGTCCAATTGACAAGGTAGGGTGTACTACGTTCTTTCCTACATCCAAGTTCTAACCATAGCCTCTAAGGATGTAGGGGAAAAACAGTTTGGCATATTGGAATATTTTGTGTGGCGATATTGTATAAAAATATTGATAATATTGATATTAATAAATGAATAAATAACAAATACTTGAAAATATATTAGACTAACAACAAGCGATGACCCTGGGTCTTCTGCACCGTCATCCCGAGACAAGGTTAGTCGAGCAAACTTACCATAAATTGGCTGAAACGACCCTGGACACACTTAGTTTGACAGAGTATAAAATTTCCACTTGATCTTATTCAATTGCAGACTGATATCAGATTCATGGCAGACTGATTCCATCTTATGGCAATATTTATTGAAGCTTTTAGTGACAGTGTTGCCTGACAGTGTCATTTTGGAGCAAAAAAAACCCTCCCCCCAAAAACGACGTCGATAACTTTATGTTATTGGATAAAACCGATACTGACAAATGTTTATTTTGAGGACATCATTTGCAGTTGAAAAAAGGTGATAAATTGCAGTAGATGTTATTGCAATACTATTGCAATGCTGAGCTTATCACCAAATGTCAAAAACTGCAATAATATTGTATCGTGAGTGAAATATTGTGATAGTATCATATCGTCGGGGGTCTGGTGAGTCCCACCTCCAATAACTTTATGAGAAATGTATTTTATGTTCAACAATGTATGGACTAACAACGCATGTTGTTGTTTGATTTGGAGTTTATGGTAGTAGTAGTTCCCCTCCAACCATTTGATCAGCTTCTTAGAAATGCAAACACACAATACTTGCATTATTGGTTTATTCAAACGCAGACAAGCCAGGAGAATTGAAAGTGTCACGTTGTTTCAGTAAAGCAGACTAAAGCAAGAACCTCTTGTTACAAGTAATGGATGTTTTTCAAATAAATAACAGAAGCACTGTTGTCTTTGTCTTTTCTGTATCTAAACCATAAACATGTATATAAAAGATGGCCATAGCCTTCTTGTCTGAGAGCTAAAGCCAGTATAGAGGAACTTGAATTCTTTGTTATAGCCAGCAAGGGGCGAACTCTTGAGTTACAAAATGAGGTCATACTGTATAGAAGTTTATGAGGAAATGAGCCCATTGCTCACATGAGCCACTGGCCATTCCTAATGAGTTTATGTTCTTAAACTAGTTTCAAGTCTTATTAAAATCGCATCATGTTAATAGACATTAAGTGGCTCCGCAGTGTAGTGGTTTACATATTTCCCAACAAGTGAAAGAGCCCACTTCAAATCCTTTTGGGGTTGCATCTGGTTTAAAAATCTACCAAATCAACCATGCAGACCTATCTGCTTTGTGACTCCTTGTGAGTAAGAGAGCAGCTGAAACTAAATTTCTTTGATGATAAAGCAGGTTATGCATCAAGGCATGGCTACCTTGTAATTGACAAATTGCTACTGTATGACCAGTCAGTTTCCATCTGGTTTCAAAAAAACAAGATGGCCACAGCCGAAATGTTCAGGCTGCGGCTTCAACACAGAACTTCCCCAACAAAAGGAGCCATGACCGTGGAGTACATCCACGTTCTATACAGAGTGTACGATCGAAATGCAGTTATGGCCCTAAACAACAGGAAACAACAGGCTTTGCTAATTACATGGAAGATCTACTATATACACAAGCAATAAAAAATGGAAATATAATGAATAGCAATTTATTATGCTTGGCGTAGTTAGCTTTTGGTTAGTTGGTTGGTTAATTAGTAATGGGGGCTACACAGACACCAGAGAACTACTTGTGTGCATATCATATCACTATGTTTAGATTTAAAAGGTGATTCTGCCCCATTGCTGCCCCAGAGGTTGGCATCTGTTGCATTAAAATAACCTTTTTTTTCACTGTAAGCCAGGAGTGTCCAACTCCAGGCCTCAAGGGCCGGTGTCCTGCAGGTTTTAGATATCACCCTGGGTCAACACACCTGAATCAGATGATTAGGTTGTTTGTCCAGTTACAGGCCTTTAACTCTGTAACTGGACAAACAACTCTTCATAGAGTTTTGATGCCATGGAATCATTGCGTTTGTAAGCTGTTTTCACATCTGTACTTCAACAGAGGTCCATTTGATGTTGTCGATGCTGGAGTATGCTGGTGTGTGAATATTGTATTGTCTGGTACATTCTTTAGTGGTGAGTGGATGTAGTGTGTGCTGCCTCTTAACCTGATTCCCTAGAAACTGTCTGAAGTTCGTGTGTGAAAGCCGCTATTAATTCTTACACAGGAGGACCTTAAACGCTCTACCTATTTCTAAGGCTCCTTCCTGACACCGACTCCTTATTTCCAAGCCTGTCCATTCTATTACAGCATTTTCATTTCGTTTGGGTTTTAGATCTGCCCTGTCACTTTTCTAGGTGTGGTCCCTTTTATTCCTTATACCCACTCACAGCAGCCACAGTGTTGTTCCAGGCGGTTACATGTCATCCGTAATCCCCTCCAGCTGGAGTGAGCATCTGTGGGTGAAACCCGTTCACCCTGTTGACGCTCCACAAATCAGCTCCCTGCCACACCAGACTGTACCGTCACCATGCAGACTGCAGCAAAGTGGGCTTCAGTGCAAACAAAATACCCCACGGCCACCCAGACATTGCCGCGCAACTCACCATGGAAACAAACATACAGTTGTGATGGCAGGAAAATACAGCCCTTCTTCGGTTTGTCATTGCGGGGATGTGTTTTGACACACATGCGCACAAACAGGCATTTCTCAAACTTCTTGACTGAGAGAGTTAAAAATTCAACCTGTCTGGCCCAATCAGATCCAGATTGTTGCACGGTTACACTACTCCAGCCTATCACAAGATCAACATTCCAGACCTTAACTGGCAGGGGCCCCTGCGATTAATTTAGATGGATAAGTCTCATTGTTTTCACTTTTCCAGAATGTGAAAAAAAATCCTGCACACTTTTTGCTGAACAGTAAATATTTTTGACTGCTAGGCAACAGGGCTGCAGCAGAGGCACTGGTGCAGATTCAAGATGACTTCCCTCTTCCACTGGTCCCCGCCTGCCTCCCCATGCCCCCCTCCTTACAGACACGAGGATCTCTGCCACAGCTAATGGAGGTCTCCTCTAATGTCCTCCTCCTCCTCAGCCCCTTTGACCTATTTTGTCGCACTCGAGTTTTCCAGG